CCTTGTTTCATACTAAACTCACCCCCAGAAAATCTTCCACCGAGCTGGTATTAAACGTCTCGTCAGTGGGGCGTCATTCCCACGATGGTGCTCATCCTTAGGTGGTGATAAAAAAACAACGATGAAGAGAAAGAAACGGGAATTGCGGCTTGCCACTTTATTATGTGCAATAAGAGATAACTCTGAAAATTTTCTTCGCCTATTTTATTTACTACTGCAACACACTGCGCAGAGAGATAAAGCGAATCGTTTCAGGAGAAATAATTTATCTCCACACATTTCGTACGAGCAGTCCACCTGCAAATACAAGCCTAAATTCTATTCAGAGAACTCGTGTATTTGTTCTCAATATAACATTCATTATAAAATTTCCGGACGAAAAAGAAAATTATTTTTGTGAATTTTTCCCCGAAAATCATTGTAAATAATCATTTTATTATTTTTATTTTGAAATATTTTTAAAACAAGTAATAATTGTAGATAATTATTTCCGGGAAATTGTCTTCTCCCTGAAAGTAAAGGTGATTATTTTTGATTCATTAGTAATAGATGCAGATGGAAGCTTTTAATTCCATGAAATTAATGTTTGCAATACCCATCGCAGCGTAGTGGGTTGGTCTTTTCCTATTTGAGGATTCAAGAATGAATTCCCCTGGAGTTTTCTCTGTTTAATGCTGCCGATAAGAATATGGATTCTGCCTCATATGGATCTGCATTCGTATAACAGCGAAAACGATTCTCTTTCCTATAGGCAATCATAAAAGAGAATTTTATTGCACCGACCAAGTGCAATTTACAGATAAGAGACGCCATAGCGAATTTATCGGGGTAAATAGTGTATTCGGTAAATAGTGCAATGGATATATCTATCGGTGGAGTGTTTTTCTATGGGATGGAACCATCGCTGTGATCATCTTGAAAGGATACTCCTTCCAAAGACATTCATTTTGTTGATGTTTTCCCTTATTCGACCATATCTCGACGAATCTCATCATTCAATGTAGAGACAATTTTTCAGAAACATTCAATTACTATTCGATAAAAATCAATTGAATATCATCAATTTCCCTTCAATTCTTCCCTGAAAATTTCAATTTTCATATTTTATCCTTTATAAGTCTATCCCAAAGACCCTGTCATCTGATCAAAACAATTCAATCTTCTGCTGTAATTATCTGCACTCCTAGTAATTATGTGGTAATTAATTTAATTAGATTATAATCTGTTTCAATTCCATTGCAAGTGCAATAATAATTTTTCTACTTAAAAATATTTGTAAATCTTACTCAATAGATGTACATTGGAGCAGGTGAGGAAAATTTGTGAAAAAAATCAGGGGATCAGTGGCCCCGGTGTCGGCAATGTTTGATACATTTTCACTTAACCCACGGGGGACTGGGGCGTGGAAAAAGGTTGGAGGGTTGGGAGAAGTCGACCTTTTCCGTGTCTGTTTTACAACCTCGTAGCTGTTCTGTTCTGTCGCTCTCTGAGTGTGAGTTACTCCGAGTATTCTCCCTATATACCATAACAGTATGTACGTGAACGAAATGTGTGAGTTAAGAGCACCCGAGAAAGAGAGAGGGAAAGAGAGAGGGAGAGAGAGAGAGAGAATTCTCTTGCATTAGTCGAACCCACGACAGTGCCATATACTGCAAGTAGTAAAGACAGAGAGTGAGGTTTGCACACGAGTGAAAAACGAGCTAGAGGTAGGGAAAAGGTACAAGACCTCACACTAAAACCACTGATCAAGAGGAGAATCCTGTTGGGTCCTGTGGCTTCTCCTGGTGCTTTCAGAAAGTCTTGATATATACAATTTCAATTTTCTACAAATAAAAATTTTGCAGATTAAAATATTGAGGGTACGAATTTTGAGTAGGCAATGAAAAAAAAATTGAAAAAGAATGTAAAAATGAAGAAAAGAACATGAAGACGTATATACAAGAACATCACTGATAAAATATACTAGATTCTAGTATATTATAGTATAGCTCACTGTCGGGTAAAATGGGTACTAGGAGTAATAATAAATAGTAATTTACGTTGTTAATTTCACAAATGACAAGAATTTTAGACTTAGCTAAAAATTCGTACTCAATCTGATAATGGGCCTGAAAATTCCCTGAACCCCTCGGATTTCTTTCTGATCGTTCCTATAAAAATTACTAGTGAACAATTCTCCATAGTGGATTACGCGAATTGTTGCGTAATTTTTCCAGAAAATTTCTCACCATGTACATTTTATACTCTATCGTCCCACTCTGCCTTTCCCTTGCCATTCCCTCGCCAACCTTTCGCCCCTGAGTTTTTATTCCACTTTTCTCTTTATTCCACTCATTTTGGCGGAACCACTCGACTGGGTTCTCCCGTTGGAAAGAAAATGCGCCAAATGGCTGAGACCCACCTTAACTTCGTTATGCCGGAGCGTTTTAATTTCCACGTCATGGTATGGACTTAATGGAAAAAAAGAAAATACACCGGGGAAAAATAAAACCGAGGAGCGCATAATAAATGAAAGAAAGGGGATGGGAGGAGTGGGAGGGGACGGGGTGGGAGGTTGGAGAAATCCCGGTGTCGAAACAGGCATGATAAAAATTTTGTCTGAAACTGGGGGGTGGGAAATTGCGCGAATTGGAAAGTGCAATGGACCGTGTATCGAATTTGTGTATTTCCATGGGCATGAATTACCACTGGACGATACGTACAGTGTACTAGCATTGAATTGCATGTTGCAGGTGGAGAAACGTTTTCTTTGTCCGCATATGTGTGTGTGAGTATTATTTTTTCATATCTCGGATATGTTGTCAGGGAGAAATTGAAATTTCATGGGGAGTGGAGTTATATTTTCAGGAATATGTTCTTCTGTTAAGATAACTATTATATTACACTGATAAAAATTATTGTCAGTGTAATTTTTCAGGGGAATTTTAGAAATTTTGCGACATTTCATCTTCAGACGTCTTGTTACTGAAAAATCAGAATAGGGATTTTTTTCCAGACCGGGATTTATGAAACCGATGTCTTATTTCGACGACAATGATCGAGCGCCCGACTACATTTGTCGGATGATAATTACAAGACCTCTGCACACATCACCCGCATAACCTTTCGACATGGATATTCATGGCCAAGGTTAATTGGAGTTGAGATTGCTGGGATAACAGGGACACGATTTAGTGGGACGTACAAAACTGCGTGTGTGCTGAACTGCTTCCAAGTCTGTACATTCTCTCGGATTTACACAGTGGACGATAAAACTGGTGATAGTCTCTGGGATTTTATGAATACAGCCCAGGAAAATTCAGCAAACGATTGTCTAACACATAACCACCAAAGAAACCTAAAAAAAAAACATTATTTTCCAGACGACAAAACTATATATTTGGACTGCATGAAACTTCTATTTCTATTTCAGTAATTCTGATAATCATTTCCACTTTTCATCATCAATTGGTTTTGAGAATTAGCGGAAATGCCAAAAATTTAGGGGGGTTACCATTTTTTTTTCAATTGATGGTGATGGTGAATATCTGAAAATAAAAATATATTAAATAATTGGTTAATTAATTTTCTTTTTTGTTCATCCAAGAAAGGAGACCAGAACGAATCAATTTTACCGAGGGAATTGGATCATATTATATAGAAAATGAAACGTACATTGAATATATTATATTATATATTCAATCTATTGAAAAATAAATTGCCATTTGATTTTTCAAGATAAATGAGAAATTGCGGGACCAGTGTAGATTTTATTTAACGAATTGATTTTTTATATGTTCCCCCGACCGCCAGTGTATGTAAAAATCTGTATGGACAAACTTATTCATTCCCCGGGGTATACTGTAATAATCGAAAGAACCTTTTTACTCATGTAATGTATAATACCACATGAAGGGCTATTCATCTCGCTCCTCAGGCCCCACCGCAAGGTGAAATTTCCCTTCGGCCTCTGCGCCCACTAAATTTTCAGAAGCTATTAAATTTATCGGTCTGAGGAGATGCCGTGCCTCCCTAACTTTTATAAATGGGGCACAGGGTGTGCCACGGAGTATTCTCGCAATTTACCCGGACGAAGATCGTTTCTCATTTCACCTTAATTCGGCCAGTGGTGGATTTGATCGTTTCCGGCGAGAATGAATCTGCTCGAGGGTTCGACAGCTCAAAAAATTGCCAGGAGCTGGGAAAAAGTGAAAAGTTTATTCTCTTCACTTGACGGAGACGATTACACCTTTTCACTCGATAGAATTCATTGAAAATTCCATTAATACTTCCAAAATGGAGGATTGAATCGCAATTGTTCGAGGGAACTGTAGCAATTCAGTCATTTCGGTAATTACCTCGAGCAATTATCTTACTTCAATTTAGAATTAATTAACATATTCACTCTATGCGTTCTATTTAATGAAAAATTGAGTGGTGGTGACAATGGATGGGCTTTCTTTTTATACTAAGGCAATTTTTTTTTGATGAAAATTAGTCGAGTGGTCTTTTGTCGTTCGAGTGACTAATTACTTGACTTCATCCGGATTCCGCCATCTCGAGGTTGTACACACATCGATTATAATCATATTCATTGTTGAACAAGTTGATTCAACCTAATCGAGTTAATGGAGTGGAAGGATCAAGTTTTACCTCCTCTTCTTTATCTCCTGCGCTCCAGCGAATTTTAACGCCGGCCACCCTAACAAGTTTCATAATTATCCACGGGGTGGTTTGTTCGTAACGAGATATTTACAGGGGCTCATGCTGCGCCCGCGACGTCAACGTGAAAAAGTGTATAAACAGAAGGAGCAGGAGTTGCTTTCAACGTAAGGATGAGAAACAAGAGTTCAGAACAACCATTACAGAGAAAAATCTTCCGACCAAATTCGCAAAACCTTTATCATTTAAAAAATCGGTAGTAACGTACAAATTCCGGTAAATATATTCCCGAATTTGAACTTTTGGAATTAAAAGGCAATTTCAGAGAAAATAGATTCGAATTCGGAAAGAAAATAGTGTTGAAATGATTAAAAAATTTTATGGAAAATTATATATCAGTCGAAATAAAATCAATCGATGTCACTTTCTGAAGATAATACCCCGTCTCGATGCCAGCGGATATTGGAGAAACTTGGAACGGGGGTTGGGACAAATGATTGGCCATTCCTCCGTGATTTTTCAGTTTTTGGGGGATCGTTTGATCCGGAATACGAGGGCATTGGGGTTGGTAACCTGGCGAATCGCAAAGCCATTCGGTTTGCACGGTCCATCTCATCTCCAGTTGGTAGAAAATAGTGGCCGCGGTACCGTCGCAATATTCCGTACTCCACCCCACGTTTCAGCGCCGTTTTAACCTTTATAAATTGTAAAAATGTAATATAGCGATGCTATCTGAATTTTCTCGGGTTAAGTTGCGCCGGATTTTTTTTTTGCACTCTTTACCTGACGCTTCACTCGAGTCTCGGGTAAATTCGAAGCGTAGCTTATGAATCCGGTAATTTTGTTTGGCGTCGTACCCTTTGTTTCCCGGAGATCTTGAATTGCTGAGACAACCAGAGTAGCCAATTTCATGGGCTTAATTTTACCATTTTTCTTTTGGCTCTTCGTACGCTTGCTTTTCTTTCCCCTGCTCTTAGCCATGTTGTCTATTGTTTATTCAATTTCACGGAATTATTCAATCAGTGAAACTGTCACAGAAAATTTATTAGGTGAGGATTTTGCTTGGGGACTTGACAATTTTATCTTATTGTGGCGAATTTCACTTTTTATCGCGTCATTTGTTTTTTTAGTTTTGCTCTTGAATAAAATATTATGAATACAATTGATTGATGAGTTATAAAGTGGAATTGACGAATTTTTTTTTTGTTTCCCGAGATAATTCTTTTTTTTCGAGAATTAATTGATCTTTGTAAGATTATTATAAAATTTCTAACAATTTGAAAACAACTCATCGACACGAATGCAATAGTTTTCGGTGCACGTACAGAACTTTTTCTCCTCCCCCTACTATGGCTATAATTGTCTAGTAATACAAAGGGTCGCAGTGATATATTTCACCAGAGGCGATAAAAAAGTACATTATTACATTTTTTACCAAAGATTCAGGCACGAGAGGACAAGGGGGCATATTTTTTTTCTCTCGTTCCATCGTTATCGCTGCCATATGAAAAACAGCGTTGGACTACGGCACGCAAGTAACGAAACACAAGTATCAGTAATTACACAATGAAAAAAATCGGATAGAAATTGCTAAACGTTCAAATAATTTACCCCTAAACTTTGAAGTTTAATTGGAATTTTATAAAAAATTATGGTGGTGAAATAAAATGTAATGGAGACCATTTCAATTCTCGTTTTGATTATTCTGAAGTTATTGATCTCATGGTTTGCACGAGTTCATTAAAATTATTTATAATCTTGTAAATTTTAAATCAATTCACATGGAGTGAATCTAATCAATTGACGATTTCAGTATGTTTTTATTTGATAGGAATTTTTTTACTAGAAAAAAAATCTAGTTTTTCAAAAAATTACTGTACGGGAGAATTCTCACATCTATAAATAGATTTTTTTCATCAAACAAATCATCAATTATCCGGTATTCTTGATAGAGAAGAAAACTCCATAATAAAAATGAAATTATTATTCACTGAACATCCGCGTAATTTTTATTTAACTTTTTCTCTCCGCTCATGACGTCCCCGTATTGCAAAACTCGCCACAATTCCCTGGTAATTTTTAACCACCATTTTTCTTGGTATATCAGTAATTACATCCACCGGTAACCATAACGTGACCGGCCCAGTAATCTTGAAAAATTAGTCCGTGATACATATGTGAGTAATGACCGTCGAGTGAGTATCACGTAAACTCGCACATTTGAGCGACTTAATTCAGTTAAAAATAATTGTACAACTCAATTCTTATCGCGCAGTGAATGCAAATTGCGGGGTAATATCGTGTGTAGGAGAATTGCAAGGAATGAGGATAAAGGCACGCAATTTCGAGAAGCGGTGAAAATTCCGTGAAGGTGATTTCAGATAAATAAGATTCATTGAATATGAATGCTTGCTTTATCAGAGAAGTTCATAATTCCACGCCCATGTTTACCTGAAATGACAGGTAATTCTCATAGTGAATGGCCCGACGTGGGTCGTTATCACCGAGATGTTTCATTATTCCTTTGACGGAAATTTATTTGCGAGGAAATACATTTTTCAATTTATTTTCTAAGCGAAAAATGAATTGCCCAGCAGTTTCTATTGCAGTTATATATTGAACCAGTCAGGTGTTTGTATTGACGCATTACAAGATATTTAAAAACAAAAAACAGCAAATCATAACTATAGGAGAGCAATACCCGAGACTGTCCGAGACTGAGTAATCTTCTATAATAAAAAAAAGCTGTCATAGAATAGTGACAGAATTGAAATAATTTCACATGAATAGCTTTCACGTGATTTGAGGGCAATGTAATACCCTGATTTAATCCGTTCACCTAGCCAAACGAGATAAAAAACAAAAATCCGACTTAATCCAACGGGAAAGGGCACTGTAAAGGGCAGATACCCACACACGAGTGCCAAAAAACACAAGTTTTTCATCCCGTAAAATTCAACACACGTTTTATTCCTCGAAACATGAATAAATCGTACCCGATAAATGACTGTCGTGCAGTGCGGAGTAACAGCTGTCGGTGATATTCGTTGCAGTAGCCAATAGGCCAAAATCCGCTGAAATCCAAAGAACAGATGGATTAAAAGTCATTAAACCCATGCATTAATTTAATCTAAAAAATCCATCCACAGTATTAACTCGGTATTCGCAATTTCTCGGGCTCACATGAGATGTTGAAGACATCCTGTTAATACCCGATATAATGGTATGAAGCAATTATTCACTCGACAATACGTATCGGGACGCCATATTCGCGGGATAATTGAGAAACCATCATAGCCGTTCATTTTTTGTCCCACTATTTCATCCCCCACCACTCGTCTATGATGAGAAATCACGATGGGAAAACGAGAAGAGGTGGAGAAACTAAAAAACGTAAATGGATCGACGAATTCACCGATACACACGAATTCCGATACGAGCACAAAGAAAACATCAAGATTTGTTCGTTGGGTAAATGGGATTTTTTAGCGCGTTGTTCCATACTCTTTTGAGCTGTACCGATCTTCACTCCAAACACGTAACACTCAACTGCAACGAGCCTCTGAAAATCCCGAGTTGGCACGAATATTTTTACGAAATATTCCAACGACCGCACCTTTTGTATTCCGGACACAAACAGGGTTTTCTCGGTATTCCACTTTTAGGAGTACTCATACCTCATTATTTGGGAAATTTATTAGGTCAGCGATAAAGATTTCACGTTTATCATTCTTCCATTTTTATCATGTATTCGTATGGAATTCATCGCTTGACACCGCGTGTTTTTGGTTATCAATAGCAAATTGTTTCACTTCCGGATTGGGGATGAGTTTTGTTGACAACCCGAAAATTACTCATCACGAAAATTTTTTTTTTTCAATTTCCTGTTTCTCTGGTTCGTGGGGGTTTTATTATCGCGGCAAATAGATGTGGAATGTACGGTTGATTGATGAAAAAATTGGATTCGTAAAAACAGTCACTTTCCGCTTCGAAAAATTTTTCATTAGAACTCTCGTGCTTTCCATATTTTATACGTCTGTAAAAATTTGATTATGATCCACGGGACAAATATGTGCGAAATCAATGGCTCGTTGATAGAAAAATTGGATAAAAAGAAAAAACTCAGCGCCAGAGGAAAATTCTTCCGCTCTGATATTTTATCAGCGTCAGATTTTTAGTATCATTTACGAGACAAGTAATATGTATAAAGAAATATAGGTCAGCTACTTATTTAAAATTCCGACGAGAGATACTCCGAGAAGAATTGAAAAACCATTTCTTACTCGTGGTTCTCAACACATTGAATTCTTCCAATTCACCAAGTAAGTAGAAAACAGCAGAATGCATATTAATTCTCCTAAAGAAGATAACGACAGCGTTTCAAGTGTTTTTGTATTCCGTTGGAGTATTCTCGATGTCCCAAAGGTATTGTATTCCAGCAACGATATCTCGTGCGCGAAAAGAAACACGAGAGAACACGCTCTCAAGGACTTCCAATTAGATTCGGATTAAATCGTGTCCTTCTGCAATGCAACCTTCCATTCCACTGGGCACGAAACAGTGTTCTCTCTATTGTGTTTACCAGTGAGGGAATATACTATTATCCTTTCTTTGTTCCCCTCTGTAATGTGAAATCGCTTTAGTGACGATTCAATCGATACAAGTCTTGAGTGAATACTCCAGCAAGAGGGGAATATATTTGAACCATTTACTCGGCGCCAACGTCTTTTAGAATAACACATTGGATATTGCAAAAATATAGCCGTCAAATATCGAAGAACGGAAATTATAATTTCCACGGTGTTACGCATAAAATGATGTAGTCCACACACTGCGCATGCGTTCGTTTCGTTGCAAAGAAATACGGGAATCCCCGACACCAATACCGCGGTATTGATGCTCGATCGATAAAAAATCATTGAAAATATCAATTTGTGGTTGTAATCAGAATTTAAATCATTTTCATTATCTCAAAGTTTAGGATTTACATCATCATTACTACATGCGATATTACATTTTCTTTTTCATACGAATCCCACAATATTTCATAAACTCGAAATTTAATAAAGGCCGGTGTTTATACGGAAATAAAGTGGAACTGAAACACGATTAAAATAAAACTAGAGGCGGCTAATATTGACAACTTTTTAAATAGAAAATTGGTTGAAAGAGCAACAAAATGGGTAAATATCAACTAATGATGCAGGCGCTTAAACTTTTCTCTACCAACCGAGTATTAAATAACTTCAAAGCCAATAACTAAACAAATAAATAAAATAAAGTGATAGAAATTCCAGTGAAAATGTGGTAACTCCATGAGAATAAAACAACGAGGTCAAACTTACCCTTCGAGCATGTTGTATAATATTCCCACAACAATTTTGACCTGGTATTCACAAGTGTTGAATATCAGACTGGCATCTCAGGAATACCAGCAATTCCAATGCATCATCACAGGATTGTGGAGTTTCTGAATTCATCCTCCATAACCGATCTACCTATTCTGCTTCATCCTCCTATTTCAGTTGACCCAAAATCGGATAAACTCAATCGACGAAGGAGTTTCATTTCTGTTTGGTTTCCACCTAAAAAGCCATTTGTCTCGATGTATCATTAATACATGAACATTTCACCGCAACATTGGTAACGCTTGTAATCCCAGTAGCTTAGCTCCCAATCACGTGGCAATATCGGAGAAGGGTCAATGGTACAATAATCGAGCGTCTTGTTCAAGCGTGGAAGCTACAAACTTGTGTGCATGCAATCCTCTCCACCTAGAGTCGACTTGAATGCACAACAGATATATCCCCACGTGGTCTCACCCTGTCTAATGAATCTCCACCCCATTCGTACTTGGAGTATATAATGGGTGTAGTTGCTGAGTCTGTGCATTCTGAAATCGATACGGTACCATCAATCGGGGATGATGATGAAGTTGAGGGAGTAGACGATGCTAGTTTCTTGCTCGAAACCAACTCTCGGAGGCTATTGTGACTTCAATTAGAATGCCCAGGATACCTTCAGTCAAGCTGCTTCACTGCTTCATTTTTTTGCTGAGTCTATAAGCCAAAGAAATAGTTCACAATTTCACATGAACTCTAAA